AAATTGTATATGCCGTGTTTTAGACGACAAATTCGAGAAATGAGCTGTCGAACATGGCGGCAAATATTTTCTGTAATCCAGTAATTTTTTTAAATAGTAATAGTATGATTAGGAAGAAAAATATTTATTGCTTGAGCCTCGGTGTTACCGTTGGCAGAAGATGAGGTCTGGGAGATTTCTGTAATTTTCAGCTCTGGAGTTTTAACTAAGAAAGCAATGCCTCCACAAATACATACCAGTGAGCCTATCTTTCCTTATCACTGTGAATTCCTTAATATTTAAGTTTAAATTAGGATTCATCTATTTTCGAAGGTTTTCTTTTTTATGTTGCTGCGGCTGCTCTGGATATTTTTGGTCCTATTTGACTCCTCTGCACTGATTCACTAACTCCTCCAACTCCTCCAACAAGACAACAACAACAATCCAGCAAGTTTTGAAACTGTTGAAGATATATCTTTAGAACTCCCAGTAGAATGTAAGTGTCGCGGTACATTTCATTTTCAGTCTTTTATCCGTTTATGATATTAGTGTGCTATTTTGTTAATCAGATGACCAAATTTTTTATTTGTCAATTCAACTTTATTCATTAAACATCACATCACTTTCTTCCCACTTAATCCATCTTGGAAACATTGCTTTTTGGGGCTATTATTGGCGTCATAAAAATCGCCAAAAACATCACGGAAAAACATCACTATTGTAAAGTTTTACACAGAGTATTACCGATATCGCACAGCAGTCAAAATAGCTGTAGCAGTTACCAAAGAAATCAACGAAAGAACGTATTAAACGAATTGCGTTTGTACAGTTCCTCTGTGGCCATCCAATTTTGAATGGCCACATAGGAACTGTACAAACGCAATTCGTTAAATTACCAGAAAAAGAAGCGGAAAGACATCCTAAACTTTGACACAAATCCCAGAGTTTAAAAAGTATTTTGCTAAGTAAGTATAAACAGCTTTTAAGCGTCGTTGCTAAATTAAACATGACTGAAAAATAAAAGTCTAACTTCAATTTCTTAACCAACTGGGGTATAGGACTTAAAATAGCGGGAGTTTCCCGTGTGAACAAATCGTAATTAACACAAAGCAGAAATTGCTGCTCTTTAAAGGGAAATGAAATGTTTATGGGAGCAATCTTTCATAAAATAGCACCACTAAAATGAGCAGAATGCTTGCATTTGTATATTAACGATTAAAAAGGCCTCTAATTATTTTTCAGCTTCCACGATTGATATTTCTAAAGCACCACGCGGTACTTTTAAATTATGTTTCAAATAGAGTGAAATTGCTCTCACTTTGCCAACTGAATTCTGATTTTAATAATTATTAGTCCAAAGGGATTTGAATCCCGTAGGACTATTAGTTTCGTTTTGGCATTTTGCGTCGGACTCATAAATGTCGGTTCACTTTTCAAACTGTTGCCATAAAATGTTAGAGTCCTGCATTATATTTGAAGAAATTAAATAATGAAAATCTGCGAAAATGTATGTATATTTCTCACTTGTCATAAAAACGGTACAGGAGTCATCGAATTTTGAATAACGTAATCCTCAAACGAATATGAGCATGTGGAAGACCAAATTTGAAATTTGAAATTTGTTTTATGATCGATTTCCTATTTTTTAAAACTTTGACGAATTTTTTGATTAACAAACTCAAGGATTTCAAAGCGAGCAATGGCAACGTTGTGCAGAAAAAAACATTTTTATCTCCAGCGCGTGAGTCTCTGTATCGGAAATTCTAAAGATATGCTCGTTTTAAAACTATTTTGCGATATTGCTGTTGCACTGGATCTTATGGTTTAAGTGCGAGGAACATGATATTTAATAAAGAAAGGTAACACACAAAATGTTAAAAAACGCTCCTTTGGACGTAATTTAAAATCTGAAACTTTTCAGATTTTTTTTTAAAGTTTTATATTGTTTAATAAATTCAAGTACATCGAAGAAAAGTTAATAGCCTGGGATTTGATTTATACGTTAACATGAGAAACGATTGTTAAGTTAATATCTTGTTTTGAATATCAAGTCCTATATGATAAATGCATATTTGTGAAGGTTGAATCATGCGAGGTATAAGTATTTATATGAGCTATTACACTCAAGGTGTATTGTTAGGGCCGAATATTTTAAATTTCATCAAAAAGCTATGAGAAGACAGATACGGGTTGTCGATGGATACAGGATCCCCCTTGATGCATTTTCTTTAGGGAAGACCACGATATGCAATAGAGTTTTGCATTGTCTCCTATGAGATGTAGCGGGTTAGGAAGATCGCTTTATGATTTTCCGTTTATTCAAGTATTAATCTCGAAGCTAGACAAATAACTTTTGATAACTCTTTCAGTATTTATCTGTATATATAAAGAATAATTCTATGTGTTTGTTCGCGATTAACTCAGCCACTGCTATAGCTATCGTCGCCAAACTTTCCGAAATTCTTTTCTGGGTCCTGGGAAAGGTCGATGTCTACTTTACAACAACAACAACAACAACAACAACAACAAAAAAAAAAAAAACTGAAAGCTTTCAGATATTACATTACGCCCAAAGGGGCGTTTTTTTAACGTTTTGTGTGTTACCTTTATTTATTAAGGGGTATCAAAAACCTCTATACCGACAATGTTAAATCGGCCATTTTCGATGTACCTTTTCTTCAAATCTGCTGTAAATACAAGCTTGAAAATTTTCTGTAATTAAAGTATACCTATTTGATTATACTGAAATGAGCTTTTGAAGCATTTTGAATTTTAGAGTAAATTACAGAATATTTTGTTAGGCATCGTAAAAAGAAGTGAGAAAATTTAGCACTTTTCTCACACAAAAAAATTTTTAAAAATTTTTTTTCTACGTTTATTACAAAAAGCTCATTTCAGTAAATATTAGGGAACCTAATAAATAAACCATAAAAGTTTAGATACCTGTGAGCAGTAGTTCCTGTGAAAAGGTACATTGAGTATAAAAAAATCACGTTTGGAGGAAAACGCGTTTTTATGTAAAAATCCTCATTGAACAATGCAGTAGATGGCAAATTAAAACTAGATTTTTACAGTTCTAGAGATTTTCATAGAGATTAAAGAATGGTATTTTTAGAAAGATAAAAGTGTAGAGAATTTGAAAACGCAAAAATCCGAAATAACAATTTTTGGAAGATTTTGGGGTTCCAGCACCCCTTAAATATTATGTTCTTCGCACTTAAACCATAAAATTGAGTTCAAGAGCAATATCGCAAAGTAATTTTAAAATCAGCATATCTATAGAATTTCCGATTCACAGTCTATCGGGCTGGAAATAAAAATGTTTTTGTTTGTTTGTTTCTGTGCAATGTTGCCATTTGCTTGCTTTGAAATCCTTGAGTTTGTTAATCAAAAATTCGTTAAGTTTTACAAAATATGAAATCGATAGTAAAACAAATTCCAGATTCTAAATTTGGGCTTCCAGATTCCCATATCCGGAGGAGGATTACGTTATTTGAAATTGGATGGCTCTAGGTACCGTTGTTTTATCGCAATGCGAGTAACATACATACATTTAAGCAGATTCTACAGTATTTAATTTACTTAATTCAGAGAGATAATATTTGGTGGCAACAATCTGAAAAGTGAAACAACGCTTATAGTGAAGCGACGCAAAATGCCAAAATGAAATTAATACTCCTTATGGGCAAATTACCCCTTTGGCCTAAAACAAAAAGAGCTAAAAATCAGAGATTTTAATTAAAAACTTCGAAAACGCTAATTTTTACCCTCATTTTTCGGAGTAGCAACAGTCTCGCACTTTGGAGATAGAAATCTGCTTTATTTCGAGAGGTGCTGCCACTACTCGCTTTAAAATTTTAGAGGTTGTTAATAAAAAAGTCCTAAGTTTAAAATGAAATAAATTATCGTTGCCAAACATTAAATACATTATTCTCGATTCCTAAAATTCGTGGGAAGCCATTTCGACTATTCCCATCTTCGTACGACTTTAGTCAGCCGAGATAGTAATAAAAAACACTAATTTCCTCACTAATTTTTCCAAGTGGCAACAGTCTCGCATGTTGGAGATAAAAGAACTTTATTTCGAAACGTGTTGCTACTACTGGCTTTCAAATCGTAGAGTTTGTTAATCAAAAATATGTAAGTTTTACAAAATCTATATACATAAAGAAGGATGCCTGTTTGTGTGTTTGTATTTTTTGCATCGTTATTAGAGAAGGATTACAGCAGTATCGTTCTCCCTGTTGTTAGATAGAATATTCTACATTGTTATTAGAGAAAGATTACAGCGGTATCGTTCTCTCTGTTGTTAAATACAATATACTGCATTGTTATTAGAGAAAGATTACAGCGGTATCGTTCTCTGTTGTTAGATACAATATTCTGCATTGTTATTAGAGAAAGATTACAGCGGTATCTTTCTCTCTGTTGTTAGATACAATATTCTGCATTGTTAGAGAAAGATTACAGCGGTATCGTTTTCTCTGTTGTTAGATACAATATTCTGCATTGTTATTAGAGAAAGATTACAGCGGTATCGTTCTCTCTGTTGTTAGATACAATATTCTCAATCTGACTTAACTGGCATCGGGTACTTCCGCTAGTTAAAAATAAATTTACCATCAGGGGAAAAGTATTACTATTTGCAATGATTTTAACTGCTTCAGAACTCATTGCTTAGGTATGAAAAGTAATTCCACTTCTCCCAATTAAAAATTTTTTCAAATCTCTGTTTTCACATAACACGCGACATAAGATCATGGGCTCATGAGTTACTTGAGAAACTACTTCTGGATCAACTTGATTCGCATTTTAAAGAATATAGAATTCTGCAAATCGTTTCTTTCAGTCCTTTCACAAAGCAGAATTAAAATATTTAAAGACATGTTATGAAATGGTGTTTTTTTGCTTTTTTCCTCACTGAGGCTATGGGCATTACACCGGCCCTTAAAGAAGATGAAATTGGTAAAATTTCATCATTTTCCGTATGATTCTGTTGTAAAATTAAAACTCACTTTTACCTTTGTATATGATGTGCTGCATTTGACTTGTAAGTAAACGCAACTCCATATTCGACGTGTCTCCAATCTGTTGAAGAGAGAAATAATTTTATTTTAAAAATTTCTTACGAATACATCGCACAAAACAATTAATACTGTACAAAGTATGTCACACACACATCAAGCAAAAAGCAATTAATACTGTAATACTTGCTGTAATACATGCAAATACGTGTAATACTGTAATACGTGTATATACGAGCATGTACAGGGTTTAAGTTTTAAATGACCAACTTAAGAAGGATTTATCAAAAGCATGTTATTATTTCTAAGATAAAAGGAGGGGAAAAAACAAATTAAAAATTAGACTTATGGGAGCTGTTACAGATTAAAGTTAGAATTTACTTTACGTATTTTGCTTCTTACCCGTTACACAAATGGGTATGACCGCTCAGTCTGCAGATATGCACGTGCTGTTGGCACACCGAAAGGATCTATTGTCAGCTTAATTTGCTTTTGCAAATCAACTGTGTACTACTATCTTACCACTTTTAAGAAGTTTGAAAGAAATATAACAACTAACCAAATATATGACGCCAAATGTTGGGGTCAAAGAAGGCGTCAGTCAATTGCTCTGAGAATTGCATAAAATGCAATGGATTTTGAGAAGGAATGTTCATTTTATTTTACTTCCGCTTAACCCTTTGCGGCACAGTGTGTCCGGTCTGGACGTACCTAAACATTTCCTTCTGTACGCACAGAAAATTTGAATGAAAAAGAATTTATAGGTTACTGTAGGTTACCCTGAACCTTCTTTATTTATAGTAGATGGCAGCTCAACACAAACCAGCCCATATATTTTAGCCATGTTTAGCTTTATAAGACCCTCATTTTTCAAAGAAATCTTCCAGATTTTTTTTAGGGTATAAAAGGAATTGTTCGCAAAGAAATTTCTATGTTATTTTTTCGGCTGTATGATAATCTCCTTATTCTATATTAGTTTTAAATTTTTACCTTGAAATCTTGCCTAAAATCAAACGCCGAACCCTTGGTGTGCCAAGACTGGGCTCACCGATAATCTAGGACAACTGAGATTCTGTATTCTTTGTTTCTTCGCATTTCATCGGTTAGTTCATCGACAACAATGCTCAATTCAGCACTCTTTTCGAAGCTCTATTCAATCAGTGTGCCCATTTTGGGCAAGCCCACAGAATTAAAACGATAAGTGCTATCTTCACAAAATTTTACTTGTGTACTCCTCTAGGCCTAATTAGACTACCTACCATTTTTTTTAATCAAAACTCCGACTTTAAAAGTTAGCGTGCCGGAAAGGGTTAAATGCAAGTATGGAGGCAAAATTAATAGCAAATGCAATTGCTCTCCTTCATAGAAAACTATAGTTTCTTAAGAGATTTATGTATTTCGTTGTACAAAGGTGAAGTTTTATTTGCTTCCTGCAGTACAATTTTGCTAACTTATTCTTGTTAAATTTGAAACTTAAGATTTAGAAAAAAACCTTATTTCATTTATTACGTTAAATAATGAAACCATTATTTTAGAAATAATTGAATTTGAATCCAGCGAAATTCTTTTGAAAACAGTTCTGAAGTATTTGGTTTATTAACATAAGATCTCATTAGGAAATCTTACTTTCTATCTAAGACAGAAAAATTTAACGTAATAAAGCACCTTTGATTAGTTTTTTTCCTGGTAGCATAAAAAGTCCGCAGTGGTTTTTTAATCCACTTCTACGATGGCATTCAGATGAAGATTTATTTCTTTCTCCGTTGTGTTAAAATTTGTGGTTTTTTGCAGAGCAGTGCCAAGTGGTTTTGTCACGTGCGTGGTTTTTTCTGCCGAGTGCCATCACTACATTTCTTTCTTTGTATTTTCGTTTTCAATAACGTGAGACTTGTGTTGCAAATAAAGTATTTAGTAATATTTAAAAAGTTTTTTTTTAAGTTTGAAAATACTGAATTTGAGCAAGTTTGAAATGCTGTCATCCTCACATGTTATGATGTCTGAACTGTTATCTGTAGAAAATATGAACATAAATTAAGCGTTGTTTTTTAATTTAAGTACATTAACCTTCTTCATGATCTTTTTCTCACTCACCGGTTAACTATGCCAAGTTTCCAGGTTTAATTGTTAACGATTATTAACTAAATATGTAACTGGTTAATATTCAGTACAGACAGCATGTTTCGTAAGTGCACATCTGTATAGCCACCGAGGGAGTGGCTTTTAGAATGGACCAATGGGCTTCCAATAATATTTCTGTCATTTCACATGACCTTTACCGTGCTTTGAGGAAGATGGCTGAAAAGGGTTTGCCACGCAATTTCCTGTACAAAATAGTTAAAGAATCGTGAATTTCTTTTGAAAATTTTCAGAAGCATAATTACATTTGTAAATAGCAGAAGTCCTAGCAATTTTTATTGCAGTCCATATGAAAAAAATGTTCTATAATAATAGTTAATATAACAGTTAATATAACAGTATATAATAACAGTTTTATTCAAAGTGAATTTTCCTAATTTGCATTCCAACATATTTAGTGAGTTACATTTCACATTAATAATTGTGTATTATTAATGTGAATGTATTTCCTTACCCTCTTAAATGTATTTCCTTCACAAGAAATGCTCTTCAGCAGAACGAATTTATCTTGTTCACAAGGAATACTTTTAATCTATTCATATGTAACGTTTAATGTTAACAATATAATCAGATCATTCACAACATATATTTTGAATGTTGCACTTTCAAAATCAAAGGACTGCAAACATTGAGATAAGAAAATACTAGATTCATTTTAACACTTCCAGTTATCCTCAGCTCAATAAAAAATTGTACACTTGCATTCTCTTAATCCACAGGTGTTAGTATTATATTCAAGGCTAATTGTATCTTGAGTCAAGAAATACTATTTAGAGTTACTATTTTTAGAACAGAGAAGGGAAATTTACGTTGCTAATTTATTCTTTAACATATTCTTTATTTTTCTTACATATTCCCCCTCCCTTCGAGAAGGAAAAGGCGCAGAGACAGAGAAGCTTTTTTAAAGAGAAAGCGTTAAAGCACTAGTAAATAAAAAACATAAATCATAAAATTTTGATCCTGTAAAATATAATTTATAAATAGAAATTTTTTTAAATTAATTTTTAGAGTTCTGTTAAATTTGTCAGCAATCGTTTTGTTTGAGAGTTCACATAATCATAATTCTTCAGGGAAGTTTCTTGTTATCATAAAATATCACAAAATAAACTTTGACATAATCATTACTTATAATTAAATGTAACGCACATAAATATTTATGATACTGCTTTCTTGCTACAAAGTTATAAAAAATGTAAGCCTTTTGGAACATGCACATTTAATGTGCCGACTTGTGTGTAGTCCGCAAAATGTTGCTGATAATAAAACTGAAGATTTAATCTGCCTTCGCCTCCAATTTCCTGGTCATTACTTCTGAGTTTGAATATATTACATGTATATGTACTTACGTATGTGTGTGTGTGTATGTATACACACATATATGCAGATTCATCCACCCATTATATTCATAAATATTATACCTACATTTCTGAACCCGGTCCCGATAACAGAAGAGTACCAAAACCTCTTTTAATCTAGATATTTTAGGCATTTAGATAAGATTTATATAGAGGAGATTTACTGTATTTCATTTACTATTTATTGTTTATGTACTTTAAAACTACTGTAAAAGAATCTAATAAAAATGTATAGAGGAAATAAAAAAAAACTGAATTGAGAACAAAAGTTGCATTTTTATTTTGTCTGGAACGAAGCTAAAGAAGAACAAACAAAATATCTTCTTTGCTATCTCACTTTGCAGATTCGATTTTAACTTATCGATATCAAGAAGATACTGGAATATTAGTCTTAATTTTAAACCTTCTTTAAATTGAAAATAGTAGCGACTGACAATTGTTGCACTAAATTTCAATCTTTGTTAATTTTTCGAATAAAATAAAATTGATTTTTTTTAAAAAATATCTTTTTAAAAGACAGATGACATCATTGTTTTAAAGATATTTCGCCCTGCGTCTAAAATGTTTTATCAATAAGCTTTTGAACTTTAAATTCATTTATCAATCATTGTTATTATTTGGAGAAAATAATAAAATTTGTCTTATAAAATTGTCTAATAAAATAACATTTTTAAATTTTTAGAAATTGAATTGTAAATCGCCTGGTAGATGTTTGAGATTACTTTCCATTCAAAAATATTTTTTTTACAATTAAACGACGTAAATTGCATAGTAGACGTTTTGAGCTTTTTGCCATTCAAAGACATTTTTTATTGCAATTAAAAAGCTCAATTTCGTTAATTATTATTTTGTACTTCAATTAACTAGCACAATTATTTTAATTATTATGTTGCATTGAAATTAAAGGCTGCAATTAGCTTACAATTAATAGATTAATTACGTTTTGTTACAGCTAATTAAGAATTATATTAAATGTTTATTTCTCATCAATTGCAATTACATTTTTATACTCCCTCAAACAATAATTCGCAATAACAAAACTCACTTGAATCATGAGAGCAATTCCCACAAGGCCTTGCGACATCTGTGAAGCTTCGCTCATGTTTCCATACAAATCAGAATTGTATCCGTAGACTTGCAGCTGCAAAATAATGATTTGCATTATTTAATAAAATAAAGATTTACCGAAAATTGTAGAATTAAGAAAACTGCATCATGATTAATGACGCCCCATGACTTTGGGCATAGATATAAGTTTTAGAACAGTGTATGCCTTTCAACATTGCTAGAAGATCATTTCCCCCTCCTTTAATAAAGCTAAATGTGTATATATAATTACAAAACAATTTTTTAAAAACAAAATATAAACATGCCTAGTATATTCGCGCATTAAGCGGCTGAAAAATTATCAGCAAAGACATAAAGTAAGAAATATAGAACTAATTTTTCATAAAGACCAAACACTGAAATTCAAGTTAATAAATTTCAAAAATTTGAAATAGTCCTATAAATGCAAAAAAGAATTAAAAAAATGTTAAAACCAAAACTTTTCTAAAAAGCAATACCACAATTCAAAAATTTTGAATGAAATTTAAAGAAAAACGAACATCAAAGAAGAGGAATTCAATCAACTTCAATGCCACTTCGTCAGGAGGAGGAACATTGAAATCAATTCAAACCTCTGATGTATATCTCTGATATATATATATATATATATATATATATTTATAAATATTTGTTTAAATTAAAATTACTTTCTGACATTTTATAAATTAAATAACCAAAGCGTAAAAATTATTGCTAAATGACAAAGCCTGAATAAAAGTAATATTTATTTTCAAAAGATAAAACTAAACAGCTAAATAAAAAGCTGACCGCATTTCCTCACTTGAAATTATGGAATTTATCCCTGCTTTAGAAGTATGATTACTTAGAAGATATTAAAACGATTGACTACAGCTGTAAAAGATTTTAATTAATATGGAAATTTAAACACTGACGAGAACAATTAAACGAACTGCTATAAAAATGTGCTTTATATTAAGTTACTTCCAATGAAGCATCGTTGGTATAGCTTAAAATATATCAAATTTTATTTAAAATAAATATTCATATTTAAGAAGATAACCAATATTAAATTAAATTTTAAATTACTAAAAGTTTAAAATAATTATCACTTAACTAGATTCAATAGATTTCAACATATGCCATTTCTCAGATACTTGCACCATCCTTCAATAAACGTAATGGTACCCGAGATGTTACAATGTTGTTAAAGGCAGTATTATAGCTTCACACAAAGATTTGAGATAACGTCACTCAATTTAGGTTCACGTCGTCGTAGTTATGTTCCCGCTACCAATGGAAGATTTACAATTGTTTTTTTATAAAAAATAAACTCGCGTATTCCCCACCTTTTTTTACTAATTTCCTCACTTGAAAATCGGGAAGAGAAAACTACGCAGTGTACAGCATTTCTGAAGAGACGTCTTAAATGACATGTAGAGTACCTCATGTTAGTTAACCAGTTATTAATTATGCTTTTGGCCTTTACTATAACTTCCGATTTCCGTATTCTTCACCAGAACGCAAATTATTTGTTTGAGTTGAGATTTTTGGATTTTTAGAGAGAGAGTATTTTCTGGCAATGTACGCTACATGGTTAGTTAGATTCTGTCAGCATCACGTAGTTAGCATGTCAGCATCACGTAGTTAGCATGTCAGCATCACGTAGTTAGCATGTCAGCATCACGTAGTTAGCATGTCAGCATAACGTAGTTAGCATGTCAGCATCACGTAGTTAGCATGTCAGCATCACGTAGTCAGCATGTCAGCATAACGTAGTTAGCATGTCAGCATCACGTAGTTGTAGTTAGCATGTCAGCATCACGTAGTTAGCATGTCAGCATAACGTAGTTAGCATGTCAGCATCACGTAGTTAGCATGTCAGCATCACGTAGTTAGCATGTCAGCATAACGTAGTTAGCATGTCAGCATCACGTAGTTAGCATGTCAGCATCACGTAGTATCAGCTCTAGTTAAACGTAATTATTCGGCTTTACCGATCTCTCGCCGCCGATACTTCAATCAGACACGCCGAAAAACTATTGAGCCAGATTTTAGCTTAATTATGTAGTCTTCGATTACTGATGGACGTTTATTTTGAATTCACTATTCTTATTTTAATTTGCATTTCCACAAGCTGTTGCAAACTGCAACACAAAAGCGAGCGTTCATGTTAAAAGCTCTATTTAAATAAAAAGTTGTTTTATAACCTTCCTAAGACCTTTTGTTTTATTTCAGACATAACGACAAGTCGCTTTATAATTGTTAGAGTTATAGGAGTGAAGTAGAAGTACTGAATCAAGTATAATAATACAGACAAAAATAACATATATTATATATTTCAAAGTACATAAGACTAATATCATTATATTATATATTTCAAAGGACTTATCATTTCTCGTAACATTCTTTTTACTAACTTAAAATATTTTTTTATATGTGCATACATTTTATACTGTCATCATTATTCAAACATTTCTAAATCATATGTTGAAAAAACTGGAGGAGGATGTAATTAAGCAAGGGGAAGAAATATGCAAATAAATACGATATTTATACCGTATTTATTCGTATAAATATGGAATAAGTACCGTATAAATATCGTATAAAAATACCGAATAAGTATTTATAAAAATACCGTATAAAAATACCGAATAATTTCTGCACAGTTTACATTTTGAAATCACATCATTCGTCTTACGTTCGCGTCGCCATTGTAGTGTTCTCGCTATCAGTTCTTACTAAAACCGTTAGATGGCGCTCTATTCATTAATTCTTTAAAATAGTGTAGAACTCTGCAGAACAGTACATAAATTTCAAAGCATAACTTAAGCGCTCTCTCTATCGTTTTTCGCGATTGTTTCGAAAGCGATGAAGACGCAGAGTAAAGTGGATAAAGATTTTCCAAAAATTCATTTAAAAAATTACTGATAACAAAGCAAATACCAGTTCCTGCTAAAACTGTTCCATGGCGCCGTTTTGTTTTGCACTGTTCTATAGTTTTAATTACTTGGTAAATTCTGCACAATTCACCTTGAACCAAAGTAAGAAAGTAGTAACTGTATAAGATCTCGAAAGAAAAGAAACCTACCCCCATTCCCTTAAATGAAGCCTTTTTACTTCACACAGTTCCCGGTTAAAGACAAGAACTTCAGCCAATGTGGCAATAGTGATCGACCGGATGATAAATCTACCATTATTCTTACGTTAAGCTAAAACAAAAACATATTATCGCCTAAAAATGATTTTTTTATTTATCTTTAAGATAAAAGACTTAAATAAATGCAATTAAGCGTAAAGCAGTAATAATCGTTCGATGAAAGTTACATGTATTTATCTTCGAACACTTTCAGTAGAAGGCAGAATAATTTAAAGCAAAAGCCTTTTTTTTTTTAAATGCAAATTCTCTTCAAACGTTCTCTAGTATGCGAAGCTTGAAAAAGAAGAAAAATACAGATTAAGGTACTTCATTGCACACAAGAAGGAAGGGGAAGAAATTTTCCATCCTCCCCGACGAAGAAAAATCTGAAAGTCAAATTTCTGCGCCACAAAACTTCACATTATGAAAAGAATATCAGCAGAAAATCTGTTTTGTTTCTGCTTTCGAATCTCCGTCTTTTCAGTGCCTCTAACTTGAGCAGACGATTTTTCTTCCTTCTCTCAATTTCGTTTTTTTTTCCACCTCAATCTCTTCTACAAATGACGGTTTCATGCTAAAATGCTCGACTGTAAGCATGTGTTTCTGTCTGTACGTCTCTCTATCGTTCCTGAAAACACATTTTGAACAGTAGGAGAAAATTGAAATGATCGTGCGCAGAACGATTTAAGGCTTCAATTTTAAAAACGCATTTTACTACACAGCTTGCAAAATGATTATGCTCACGTTAGAACAATTAGATGGTTGTAGTTTTTCCTCAGTTTTGTTTATCTTCAGTGTAAAAACAGGAAGCTATTTCATAAACAAATGTGGAAAAAACTGTGACAAAATATTCAAAAATTTATTTCTGTGAAATTTTACTTATCATCTTATCAGGGTTGCCGTTTATTTGCATCACAACCTACAGACATGTTTTAGCCCAGAATGACTATTAATTTCGTTTCGCCATTTTGCGTTGATTCACTTTTCAGACTGTTGCCATTAAATATTACAGCCCTGTATTATATTTAAAGATATTAAATAATGAAGAAGCTGCATAAATGTATGTATGTTTCTTACACTGCGATAAAACAACGGTACCTCGAGCCATCAAATTTTGAATAAAGTATTCCTCCACCGAATATGGGCATCTGGAAGCCCTAATTTGGAATATTTTTATTATCTATTTCATATTTTGTCAAACTTAAAGAATTTTTGAGTAACAAACTCAATGATTTCAAAGCGAACTATTTCTGTTGAATTAAATTTTATGGTGTAAGTGCAAAGAATATATTAAATAAATAGAGGTAACACACAAAGCGTTAAAAATACGCCTCTTTGTAGGCGTAATGTAAAATCTGAAACTTTTCAGATTTTCTTTTCGTTTTTTTTTGTCATACTTTTATGCATATATTTATTTTGATTTGGCAACATAAATGTAGACTTAAGAACTAAGAAAATTAAAAGGAAATGCGAAAGACAAAATTAACAATCAAGGTCATGCATGTTTCATTGCATTATGTTAAAAGTTTTGTCAATCAAATTAACTTTAAGAACGTCAATTTTAGGTAAAATTCCATGCGTTTGGAAATCAATTACTTTTTCCTTTTCGCTTCAGATAATAAATTTATTTTTGGAAGTCAGATAAATGAAGTAGTATTTTCAGTTATTTTAAGTGAGAATTTGTCCCAAATAATTTGTATTGCTATGGAGGCACTTAACATATTATCGATTTGAAAGTTTTTTCGAGAGGTTGATGATATGAAAAGAGGAGTTGAAGGTCTTCGCACTCATCCTCTAACGGTTTCTAATTTGGAATAGAGAAGACAAAGCTGTGAAGTGCTCAAGGTCTAGAGCAACGACACACGCAAAACTTTGCCTCTTTGGCCTTGATAAATTTCGTAGAATCGATGATTCGTAGATTCGTAGACTCGGTGATG